CTTTACTTAAAGAACAGTTTCATATCATGCATTCTCCCTCTGTCAGTGCAGACGTATCCCTTGGCCGCTAATCTTTACATCCATAACTGGTACAGAATATTCACCGTTCACCACAAGTAGATATGCTGTTTTCATTAGGACTGCATTAGTTCTGAAACCCCATAACCTGCTGACGGCTGAGCTCTGAATGGGGCAGCCTGAAATAAATCTAACACATAACTGGGGTAATAAATAGGCCTGTGTGTGTTTGTGTGTTTGTGTGTATGTGTGTGTATGTGTACGCCTTTCTCTGAGAAAGATATAAGTGAGTGAGACAATGATAAAGAGCATTGCTGCTTGCTGGCTTTGACTGAGGGCTCTTAGCACTTTGTGTGTGTGTGTGCATGTGATTTAAACTCCAGTCTCACTGCTCTGACACATAATCAATAGAGGAGAGTCCCCTCAGAGCCCTCTTACCCCTTAACTGCTTAACTGAACTTTAAACATTTAGGTTGCGGGGATCAATGGCCCCTGCACTCTTTGTGTGTGTGTGTGTGTGTTTGTGTAAGTGAGTGTGCAGGCAGGTCTGTTGGTGTGTGTTTAACATGAGTGGGAGTTCCACAGTGTGTTTTGGGGTTTAAATATCCCCCATCTATTGAGGCGGGAAGGAGGGATAAAGGATGAGGGAACAGGAAAATCAATGGCAGAATGGAACCCTGCCGCTATCGAGCTGTTCCAATTAACTCTCACTGAGGAAAGGGGGATTCCAAAACATTCCCTGCTCACTCACTCGCTCCTTTTCTACTGAAATTACACCACTTTTATTACTGGTTCTCACTCATCTCTCTGCCTTTGTCACTTTATCCAGTTTTCTTTGCCCTGAGGTAGCCTGTCTTTTTTTATTCGTGACACTGCACCTCATGTGTTTTCCCCTGAAAACCTGCATGAAAATGAAAAACCTTATACATTTTTTGCATTCTGAAAAGAGTATAAGGCTCAAAAATATGTTCAAATATGGCCTCTCCCACTGAAAAAAAAGCGTCTAAATAATGTTTTCTTGACCTAATATTTGCACTAAAACATCAACATGCAGACATAATGGTTAGATTACACTACATGTACAATATAGCTGCAGTTTTACAGAAAAAAATTCTGCTGCAATAGTTTACATGAACAGTTTTAAATATAATTTTGACTTTTTTACTGCCCTCTAGCTAGTTAGATTACACTACATGTACAATATAGCCTACTTTTAATGTGCATGTGTAAATACACACTTCTATCTGCACCTAATATCTAAACTGAGAATATAGTCATCTTGCTTCATGGCCAAATTATTTCCAACTGACAGACAATTACCAGCTACATTTTCATGTTCAGACTTAGCTAAAGTTTCCTTGTATATCCAAGCATTTCACTTTCACTACATCAGGTCACTGTACAAACTTCCTTAATGTTTTGGTCAACTAGTTGCACTTTGCATATCTGCCAGAAATGCCATATATATGAGACAGCATAACACACTAGCAAACTTTGATATATGATTAATTGTGTGGTCTGCATCCATTTCCCTCTCACACTCAGGAAAATCCCACATCTGCACGTGTTCCTCTTTAACCTTGATTCTTGACTTCTGCAAACTCTTTGTTATAGTCCTCCAGCGTCTCTCGGAGTTTGGTGTTCTCTGTCTCAATGTCGTGCATCCTCTGGAGCTTCAGCTGTAGCTGCTGAGCCAGTTCCAACACAGGTACGGGATCTGGCAGAGACAACGCACACATACACCATGTTAACACACTGCAAAGCAGATTACACAAACAAGGACGGCGAGGTGGCATAGTGAGCTAGGAATAACTACATTCAAGGCCCTGTGAGAGTGTGTGTTTGCCCTGATGAGCTGTCCTTAAGCAAGGTAATGAATCTCTAACAGCTCCAGGAGAAGTGTTCTGGAGCTGCCCCTGACCTCTGATCTCCCTGTGGACGATTACTGGTTACTGCAAGGACCAAAAATATCACCAGAACTAACATTATTATGATAATGTGAATTATATGTACAGCTTCGGATGCATCAGATAGCTATATGTAATATCTGTGGTCCTTTCCAATTAGGTTTACTGCTTAACAAAGACTGTTGTCATTTTTTGATCAACTTTAAAATATGCCCCCATCTCCAAATGTGAATATACTGTCATTGTATTTCAATTATTCTCAATAAAAAACCTTAACAACCCCAAAAATACTTAGCAAACATTAGTGAATATCACTGATTAGAATGAAAAGAGCAGAGCTGATAATCGGCCTGCTACAACAGTTTACAACATGCAACACTGAAAGGTCACGGTTTGCTTTCACAGTCTGTACCAACAAAACTTTATCCATAAAGGCTATTGAATGATACAGTATCGGCCCCTTTATATCAACAGAAACTACTGTTAAGTTATGAGATAAACTTTGGTTCTGTATGGAAGAAAAACTAATGTGTCAACTGCTGACACAGCAAGAGAACTGGATAAGTGACACTGCAAGAGAGAGACAGTCTGTAACATGAGGCACATTAACAGAGATTACTGGGCTATGATCAGTTAAAGGGTTTTCTGTGATGCAGCTTAAAAGCAAGAAAAGAAGAGAGACATGGAAGCAGACAGTTGGACAAACTGGAGCTGTAAAACAGGCAGTGGAAAAGGTAAATAGGAGATTAAAGAAAGAGAGACAGATAAACGGAGACAAGGAAAAAAGACAACTTTCTGCAGGCATTTTCCCAACATCTCTGTGAACACACAGCAGGGTTAACTGTCAGTGTGATGAAGAGAGCCCTGTCAGTCAGGCCAATCACATCTGATTGGTGCTCATGGGTGGCAGACTGGTGACAGGCAGCCAAGAGACGCAGGCGACGCTCATCAGCATGCCAGCTAAAAGAGCAGTTTGTGTGTGCGTCTGTGTGCTTATGTGTGTGTGTTGTACCGATAAGAGGAACTGACAGCTTACAGCTGGGGGTAAGGGCTGTGAGTGTGTGCGTGTGTGTGTGTGTGCGCACGGCTCATGTCTGACACAGTTAGATATCTTAACTATGCTAATGAGAGATCAGCAGAGAACGATTGGGGAATTTCATGCTGATTTTGTGCTGTCAAGGTGACACACCATGCAGGGCAAAACTCTGAGACACACACACACACACACCTTTTCACAAACACACATACACACTTCCATAGAGTCTCGTACAAATACACACAAGCACAAACAAAACACTAAGGAACATTAATTGTGTGCTATGAATTTGGACTCCTATCTGCAGCGCCCTTGAAAACCAACTTTCTCTCCTCCTTATCAAACCTTTGTCCTTCACACAGGCCTCTCTCCAAATCAACTGTACAGCCTGTTAAAAGCAGTTTGACTTGTGGGCCACTGGTGCTAGATGCTCTTGCCAGACACCTTTAATCTAAAACAGAGCACACTGGGCTGGCTAACCAGGCTTTCAGCTGATAGAAGACAGAACAAAACACACTGTTTCCTCTTTCAAGACTGCTGCATTAGTCAGGCTGCTCTGTGTGCGTGTGTGCATCAGGCATTACATCATTGTCTCGCTGCAAGTTAAGAATAGCCCCTTCAGAGCTGGCGCTGACTTATTGGGAGCAGTACAATCCAAAGATATTACTGTAGGTCTATCCATGAGGGATTATGATGACCTCCTTACGCTATAGATGAACTCAACTTCTCTCTCTACATGCACGGCCGCTCCAGGGCTCCCATACAGCTGAAAATCTCCAACCCGCAATGCTGTGACTGTGTGTATTCTGGAACACTCTGTGCTGCACGTCCCTCCTTGGCCTCAGTGTGCTGAACGTGACTACTCATGTGTGTGTCTCGCAGCAGCCAATCGCGGGCGCACTTGTCATCCATATCAGGATGCACCTTCTGTTAAGCCCCTCTTAAGGCTACCCCAGTGGGGACGATATCTCGTGGGGACATATTAAGGCATCGCACACGCCTGGATGCACAGTGGAGGAGCACCAGAGGGACGGTGTCATGCTTTTCTCTTCCCCTGTTGATGCTGTGTGCACAGAAACGGGGGTCTCCTGATCATGTTTTTGGACTCAGGAGCTGTCTATAGAAGCACAATCACACGCAGACATGCACAGAGCACACATATTAAGCACGGCCTTACCTGGGACATCGATTATTTTCTTGTAAACGTTCAAGAAGGCGGCCTCTGCTTCTTTACTTCTCTTACTCAAGGCATCAATCTGCAGGGAGGAGAAATCAAACATACTAGTTATTGTTAGTTACACCACCTCAGATCTAAGTGTCATGTCCATTTACTCCAAACACAAGCTCATTAATTTCACAATAAGAGGGAGAGGGACCTAAGTGCAGACAAGATGGCGGAAGATTTGCACGCTGTCAACCTTGGCAGGAAGCTGTCATCGTTTTCCGCAAGTTGGCTTACAGTTAGAACTAATGTTTACCCCTCCCAATAGCTACTAATCCTAACTGTAAACCCCAACTGTAAACCTGCCAAGATGAACAATATCCGATTAATATCGCAATCCATCATCTTGTCTGCAACCAGGTTCTCTTAGCCAGAGTAGCCTACATATCTGTTCTATTCGCACTATGCATTAGTGTGTTGCATGTGATTGCGGTTGTCTTGATGGTGGCAGTGTTGGGGTTTGCTTCCTGTGAAGTTAGGTCAGCTGTTCAGCCGTTGACGGATGCGTTTCGTTTGTCTGTCCTCGAGTGAGTGCGCCTAAGTCCGTCAGTCAGTAGGCGTGTGTGTGGGTGTGCGCTCTCCTGCGTGCGAGTGTGTGTGTTCGTTTCCCCTCCAGCACACTGACATCATTAAACAGCTGGCTCAGTCTTTCCAGCCACAGCAGGGGCAGATTATTCAGTCAGCTCTTAGCAGCAATACAGTGTGGATCCATTACTGATGCAGCCATTAACACAAGAGGGCACGGCATGCATTCCATCACCGACATTATTGAAATGGACAGCATTAGAATGGATCCATAAGAGATGAATTCTAAAAATCATACTGGAGAAACTTCTGCACTGTTGTCAATGCTGAAACATGAGGCAGTGAGCTCTACTGTAGTCTCCTGTGTCACACTTCAATATGAGGAGCAGACAGTGTAGGCGAAACACATCTGAAATCAAGTCTAAATCAAGGGAAACAGATGCCAAATAAAGACATTCAGATGGTGCTACTGTACTGGGCAGAGCTACAGCTGACTACTCTGGCTCACGCACTCAGACTAAACAGCCTTGTGTTTCTCTTCCAACTCCTCCAGCACATTCACTGAGAGAAAAGGAATAAAGACAAAAGCCTATACAAGTCCAAATATAAAGTCTTCACATTCCCAGCCAAGCCAGTAGTGTAGTTGATGGGTGGTTTAGGGTTCTTGCCACTGTAAACAGAGCGGGCTACATGTAATACTGCCTGGACTCCTATGGGAACCTAATAAATCTATTCACATGGCTTCAATTCATCTCTAGTTTTTTAGCCGCAAAACATCTGGCCCTGAGTTGGCTGGTGCCAGCAACCCTCCATCCCCCCTTTATTCATTCCCTCTGTCGAATTCTCCCTCTCGTCACTTCCATGTTATGTATTCTGACTCTTTTTTTTTTTATCATCCCCTCAATCTTTTTCAGTGTCATTCACATGTCACATGTTTCGCTGTCATACACTCCTGTCTCTGACATGCACAGGGCTCCTGTCTTGCTCTCTCCCTCCTGGGCTCCTTCTCATATACTGTCACTACTATATCTCATTTTCACATCATGTACTGTACCCTCTTCATGTGCAGTGTGACACTGAGCAATCAGGTCTTCAGATGCAAGGCCACTAACGGAAAAGTGCTAGTACTAATACCTCTCACACACCAATACCAAACCTGTTCATCTGTATTGAAATGTGTGTGCATGTGTGTAGAGAAGAGTATGTGGTGTGAGGTTCAGAGTACCACAGCATCTCATGATAGAAACACACACACACACGCACTCACAAACTGATGCAAAAGAAAAAAAGATCTACCAATGGCAGTGAAGGAAGCCAGCTGCGTGACTGTACAATGACTGGGCCAAGGTCAGTGGTACAACAGCTTTATATAGCCCAACATGGGAGGCAGGAAATAGACATTTAATGTAGGACACACCCTACAGTTAGAGGCAGGTTAACTGCAGGAGCCATTAGAAGACCACCCAGGATTTGCAAATACAGCCCTGCTGTTCCAAACTGCTGCTCGTTCAACCAATCCCAATGACATCTGCTATTACATGGTCCCCTGCCCCCATCCCACACACACACCAAGCAAAACAAATGAAGTGACACAAATGATACCTCACCAGTATCAGTAGGTTACCGATGAGAAGTGCTTGCAATTGCAAAAAGCATGCCTGACACATCCACACACACAAACACATATGTACATACGTCAGCACCTTGTGCCACCATCCCTCAGCATCGCATCCCTCCCCTATCTAACCCATAGTGTGTGAAGGGCATCATGCTGACCTGCGTGTGTGTGCACGTGTATGCATGTGTGCATGTGTGTGTGGCCCCAGTGGAGTCTGATAAGGGGAGGCTATGGGAAGCAGAGACTGAAGCCTTGGATAATGGAAAAGCTTATCTGATCGATGGACCAACAAGGAACACTGAGCATGCAACATACACACACAAACGCATGTACACACACACACACACACACACACACACCTAACCCGGTTACCAAACTGCGGCCTTGTGGAAACAGTACTGTTATTGGTAATAATTATGACCCAAGGGCATTCACCTCTCAATGACAAAGATTACACAGAATACCAAGACCTCCAAGTTCCTGGGGCCAAAAGTTTTTATTCTTCTGTCTGGGTTCCACACCGACTTAGTAAAGATTCAAGCTTAAAGAAGAGTTACTGTGGGACTTCAACAGGAAGACCCTCTGGTTTCTGGCACTGTCTCTTCACTGATCAAAGCATCGAGGGGTAAAGCAAACAAAGCCAGGCTAAAATTACACATTCTCCAAGCTCCTCATGTTGTGGCAAGCAAGTGCACAGAATAGTCAACTGATTGATGGGCTGCTCTAAGACTGGCGCGGGTGTACAGTATTATCTCAATAATCATAAGATAATGTCTTTCTCAGTTCCGCGACCACCCACAACGCGCTTCAGCTTGTTCTGGTGTGCACGCCGTCGAAGGTGTGTCAACATGAGGATGGTGGAAACAGCTGACAAAGCCCCAGCTATACTGCTGCCGTTTCTATTCTCTAAATAGACTGTGGATCATCAGCAGAACATGGCAAAACCACTATAAATTACAGCGTTTTTACATAACCACTGGCTGTGGTTGCTGCTTTAACACAAGAATATGAAAGCTCACCCAGTGTTAAACTGTAATATTCTATGGCCTGTAGCAAAGCAGCCCTGTCACCATCTATTGAGATGATTTTGTTTGTGCATTTGCGTTTCCAAATGTGTGTGCGCTAGGGAAGAGATACAGTTGGGCTGAATGTCCACCCATTCCAACCCCAAATAATGCCCCAGTCTAAACCAGCCGCTTCCATTCCTACCCTCTGACATTCACATATGGGAGTGCACTGGAAATGCATGGCTGCCAGTAAGGAGGAGTCATGATGGAAATAGGTCAAAATGATGGAGGAGGAGATAGAGAGCACTGTGGAAGTATGATATGGCACACACACACACACACACATACACATCACCTCATATAAGTCAGGGTACATAAAAACTTGTGTGAGCCACATTAAACTGAAGGTAAATAAATGTGCCACATTGAACAAAAATAGCTCTGGATTGACCAGATCAACAAAAGACAAATAACCCAGCCAAATCATGCAGACAAACAAAGTCTGAGGAAATAGCATCCGGTGAGTTGTGACTGGCTAGAGCTGGGGTTTGTGGCGCCTTTATTTATTTATTTTATTTATTTATTTGCAGGATGCAATTTAAACACACCCTCGGGCTACAGGACTTCATGAATAGGACAGAAAATCAAGAGCAGAGCAGAGTGAAGAAAAGAGGGAGAGGAAAGAGGGAAAATGAGATAGTGGCAAAAGAAAGAACAGGAGATGGAGGAGTGAGCGGAGAGAGAAGAGAGATGGCGATTTAAGAGGAAAGACGAAACATGAGAAAAAGAAAAAGAGAGAGAAGGGCACTGAGTGAGGATGCAAGACCAGTTAAATGTCAGACAGGCTTTGGAAAATGAATGGTTAGACATACATGTGCAAGCACAGTGTTCTATCACTATGTCAGTGTAAGTTCCCAATAACACACTCACCTCTCCTTGGAAGCTCTTGAGCAAAGGGGCAACCTGTTTCCGAAAATCCTAAAGGATAAAGAGACGAAGAGGTTAGCGAGTCTGGAAATGAATATAATCAGCAAATCAATTTGAATCCTAAAACGGCAACAAATGCACACAAACGTGTCAAGTGAGGTTTAGATGTAGTAGCAACTTAATGAGTTTTACACTGGCAGATCAAAAAAAGTCACTCATTGAACAAGCAACCGTTCCTGCCACTGCCAGTGAACAAAGAGTGGTGCGTGAGGGAGCGATGAACATGGGGCTAGGGAGGGGGCCGGGCTTGTACCCTGAGGTGCTCTGGCCGACTGCACTTCTCACAGGAACAGGTGCAGCACCACCTGGGCCACCCAGAGGCTCTGCTAGTGTGCGTGAGACAGAGAGTGAATGAGCCACAAAGTAGGCCTACAGTTAATGCAAATTGTCTCTGCATACCAAGCTTTTACTATAAAGCAAATGCTTTTCATCCCGCAAGTCCCAATGCATGACTTTCCGTACGAGTCAGCGGTTTCTGATTAGATAGCCAGTCGAATATGTATCAGGGGAACATGCAAATCACCATGCTGTTAGCTGAGCCTACATCCTGACAAACTGAACTGGAGCGTACAGTAAAAAGCAGAGCAGAATAGGACATTCTGTACAGGAACATTTGATTTGCACAGTTTGTGGACACGCACACACACACTCACACTCACAAAACTGCCTAATGAAGATGTGAAGTAGGGCACTGACAGATGTGTGCTTGGGAGACTCTGCGTCTTTTAGAAACCTCCTTCTAAAAGCCTAACTGATCCAACAGGGAGCGTGCATCCCACACTGACCTGGGACCAGCGTCTGGGGCTGTCCTAATCCCAGGCTGGTCCAGACAGGCTGCTTGTCTGGGGCTGAGGACAGGTCATGACTTCAGTGACCCTGCTCCATTGTTACTTCATCAGGGGTCGTTTTGGCCGTTTGTCTGGGCCAAATGAACATTCCTCTGCTGAGGATAATACCCTCCACCCTGCCTCTGCCACTACTAAACACCATTCTCCCTGCCTCCCTGCTCTGGCTTACCTTTTCTTTCACACACACACACACACACACACAAAGACACCAGTTATGCCATTTGCATAAGTTTGATTATGCCACAATTTTCCATTTCAGAATTCAGCTTCCTTTCAGCGAAGTTTTAGATAATCTGCACAACTTCCTGATTGGATTAACAAAAATTCTTTTTGTCATCCTATATCGCATCAGTTTAGGTTCCATTTTTTGTCAGCACCAGGCATGATGTGTGTAAACATCTATATCATTAGTGTTAGTGTAAAAGACCTTTTTTTAATTTCACTATCCTTACTTTAGGTTCAGCGTAGATGGCAGACCAGAGTGCAGCACACTTATCTTAGCCAAGCCTTTGTACTCACTGTGTTTTTAGGTAGAGATAAATAGATTTTTATCTTATTTGAGTTTGGATGTTCATTGTCCTAACTTGTATTTGTAGTCCAAGCTTTGGGGGCAACTAAATGCTGCTGGAACCTTGATGAGCCTACATACACACACACACACACACACACACACACACACACACACACACACACACACACACACTGAAACAAATATTCAAGTAACATGCAGGGGCAAGCTACTGCTTTTGCTGAAAACCTGAGCACTGAACCCCTTTGGTCCACTCTCTAGTGCTCCGCCCCTTTGCCCCCTCCACTTTCTAAGATTTATGACCATATAACATAACAATGCACACAGACACCATGGTCTCTCTGTGTGTGTGTGTGTGTGTGTGTGTGTGTGTGAGGGGAGTGGATGGGTCCGGCAGCAGGAGATGGATGGCTGCTGTGTGAGCTGCCGGCAGACAGCAGACAGGCCAGCCCAAGGAATCCTCCAGGGAGTATGGAACTCCCATTCGCTGTCTGTTCGCCCTGCAGCTAAACACAAGCATGTCTATGTGCACGCACGCACGCACACACATGCACACACACACACACACACACACAAACGCCCACGAGCTCACACCAAGTTGTTTTACTACCACTGCCTCTGGCTAGCAATCTATGGGACATTTTACAACCATTCCCACCCTTGCCTTTATAACTGTGTAGTAGTTGAGTCCTGACTAACTAAAAAAATAATAATAATTAAGAACTGGATAAATAATTCAGGCAACTTAAGAAGCACAGTGAGATGTAGTCTCAAAAAATTTCAGCTTGTCAGTCCTAATGAATTATGAAAACTTTGTTTTCACGCTGCATTTCTTTGCACTACTTTCAGAATGCTACAAAAGCCTGTGTGTGTGTTATTATGCAGACCATGAGTACAGTTCACGCCAAATACAGCTCAGCAGACTAGACACAGTCAACGTGGGCCGGTCTCCTGGTTGTTGAATAATGGATCAGAGACGGACTCCCGCTCAGCCTAATGCAGTCTGATCTGATGTGACTGTGATCTCCACTGACTACTGCGGACCACAGAGAGCTGACAGCCCCACTCTGTAGGCTGGTCAACCACATACACACAGCCAATCAGCAGCTCCATGAGCATGCACAAGACGATTGGGGCATTTTTAAGCAAGCACAGGCCACTGTACATTATGAACCAGCCTATTTGGTAGGCAGACTTGATGCCTTATACATGTCCAAACACCAGGAGTTTGAGGTGATTCCTATTGAGCATGTTACAGCCCTGTAATGAATCCTGTCACTCGTCTGGCCTGGCTCAGATTCCTCCTCCACATACCAGAGAGATGCCAGGGGCCACACAGACGCCAGAGGAGCCTTCCTAAATCACAGCCTTGTTACACTGATGAATGTGTGTGTCCTGTTCTGTGATCTAGGCTATCTGCCTGTGTGTTTGTGCGCGCGCCTCTGCTTCTCCGCATGTTTTCTTTGTGTGTATGTCTCTGCCTCTCTGTATGTGCATTTCTCCACCTCTGTGCCCTTACATCCCTGTGTGTGCTGCTTGATATGTGGCTGTACTTGATAAGAGACAAATGTGTAGGATAGAGTGAAATTAGCTTCTTTTGCACGCAGGTACACGGTTCTCTGATGTATGTTCCTCTACACCGGGTGGGCTACATGCTCAAGTCAATAGTCACAATGCTCATCCTTGTGGTAACCATAATAGGCCTACTGCCAGCTCCACCGAGAGTTGACAATTTTCTATCCACCGTCTACTCCATTCATACATAATTCATACTACCATCAATAATTCACCATGGTGACATTGCCAATAATAACACAACAATACTTTGTTTTTTGCTGTGTGGTTTAAAATGTGTTGCCTTGGTAACAGAGATGAAACAAATATTCCCAGGAGGAATGACAGGAACAGGACAGAATTCCCTCCTGATCCCATTTAGTAGTATTGTCACTCTCTCTCTCTCTCTCTCTGCCCCCTCTTGCTCTGCCTTTCCCTCTCTCTGTCTTTTTCTCCTCTCACATACACACCCAAGGACCACACTTTCTGCACGCACAAAAAACTAGGTCAGATAATACAAACTCCTGAGGGGTTTTCTGTTTTGTCTCTTTAGGATTTCAGGGAAACTAATGGAGAGTCTATTTTTGGGAGCCAAGCCCTGCACCTTCTATTCCTCCCCTGCTTTCTCAGTAAATAATCATAGCTATACTAATGAAGAGGAGAGAAGACAGAGAGAAACAGTGAGGCAAGCTATGACTGCCAAAAGAATAGCGGGATATGAGCATGGCCGTGTGGCTGATGCATGCCTGTGAATGTGATTCTCACCTCTGGCGTGTTCTTCTTGAACTCACGGCTCAGGTCGATTAGTTTCTTCCTGGACTGTTCGCTCTCGTCCTGTCTGTTGGCAAGCTGTGTGGCGGTGGCATCGAGTTCTTTCTGCAAGACAACCACAACTTTTTTCAGTTTTCTAAGAAGAACGATTGCTGCACATTTTATCACATCATTCTGCCATTATAATCAGTGTCATTGTTATCACTAGGGATAAAAAGATGGGGGGCTGTTGTCTGAATAGAGAGCAGGCTTCTTCACACTAACCCCTGTCTCAGCTGAACTTGGCCAGTATGTTGCAGCAAAACAGACAGAATAGTATCACAACACCGATGTCCCGCCAAGGGAAACCCAAGTGCACCAGTGGTTTGATCTGCTACCAGCGCAAGCAGCATCTGAGCTGCTCAGACTGTCAGTCAATCAGTTACCACTGTGCCAGGCATGACAACTTCTCTGGCAATAGACTACTACCACACATGCAGTTCACAACAATTATTGACTGTCTGCACCACAATGCCCCTCCCCTTCCCACATAACAACGACAACAGCACAATTATCAACAACAGCAGTGTTGTCAAGGCTGAGGCAGGGCTCGCCTTTATCCCCATCCTTTTTGCATTGTTATTAATAGCCATTTATGGGACTACTTCCAGATGATGGGCCAAGTGCTGACATTAACAAGACGTTCAGGCCTTGTAAAGATTATATCTCCCTCTACTGAGCGTGCGAGTGTTGCTGGATTATGTTTCTGTTGGATTCTTGCCCTGTCACGTTCACACCTATATTCCCTCCTCTATTTTTGTGTAATCTCTAGGAATGTCTATGATTAATCGATTATTGTTTAATCACCGTTAAGAATTTTATCGATTAACAGTGCAGAATAGGAGGACATGCAGTGCCGGCTGCCAGAAAATGTGCTGTAGTACCTGGTTACACCACTAGGTGCCTCTTACTGTTTAATGGCGTTGCATGTTTTCTGACCACCCCAACAGGTCGCCCAGACGAACACACCTGCTTGCCATCAGAAAGAAAGTGACAATGTGGCCAGGGTTTGAAATTAACACCCGCCAGGCACCAAATGTGGGTAGATTTTCCATTTGGTGAGTAAATCTCAGAAGACTGCCCACAACACTGGTGGGCAAATGTTTATAGCAAAATAGTCATGTAATATCAGTAACCTGAGATTCTTTACTTCGGGCACCGTGCTTCTATCTGTGTCAGAATTGAATTTTGCTTCAAATTGTGCTCTAGCCTTTTTACATTTGTATTCAACATAATACCGTATTATCGCAATGAAATACTGAAACAAATGTGTAGCCAATGTGACACAAAAAGGCAATTTATTATTTTGGCCAGTAAAAAAACATGTTTGGCCAGTGGATTTTTCCATCTACCAGCTACCTTGGCCAGTGAGTCACCAAGTTAATTTTAGACCCCAAGCTCATTGTATCAGTTGTGTTGATGAACACTGCAGCATGAAGGTTCTGCTGATTTGTTGTCTGGCAGCTAGCTGGTATAGCTAGCTATCCGAGGCTCAGATAACTCAGGCTGGGGGCGGAGTGTCACACAACAGGGAGCATCGCTGTAGCTGTGCGCTACTATTCTGAAGGTGCATTACTCTAGTTATAAATTCTTCCAACAAAATCACCACAAAAGTGATGACCACCGTGCTCCAAGTATAAATGCATTTTACTGATGGCAGTTAACGGTTTTATTATGGAAAGTGTATTTCATAAATTGTTAATGATTAGTCGATTATTGATTGTTAACATGGCCAACAATCAATTAAGGAAACGACACCCCTAGTACTCTCTACAGAACATCCACTCACTCATTCAACTGGCAGTTCCTCTTCTCCATTTAAATCTCTCTTCTCCCTTTGCTCTGCTGCCCCCTTTTCTACCCCCCCAATCCACCTCCTGTGAGGCCACCCACCCCTGAGAGTGATTAAACGCTGCTGAAGGGCCGTTATGCTAACTAACACACTAATCATTTAATACACACATTACCACAGGGGCCCCTGTGGCTCAAGTCTGCTGACAAGGTCCCAAAACACACTCATGCACACATGCCCACCTCCCCTACATCACTCACACCCCCCAGCACGCACAAGAAAATACAAACCACCAAAAAAATAAATAATTTAAAAAGAGTGATCAAGGACTAATTAGGAGATTTCCCACCATCAGCATTAAGTTTAAATCCCTGACCAGTCGTGTTCTCGTTTTATCCACAAACCGTGAAAAGATATAACAAATGGACTTGGCCGATTGTCCTCTGCAAAGGATTTTTTGCAACAGCACAAGATGTTTTTTTGGGGGGGGAGTGGAACAGG